AACCACCATGGAAAACCTAGAAGCACTGGACAGCCGTTCCGTCCTAGTGTGGGACTCCTCAAGAGTGTGCATCCACGATCCCACCCCGCTGGATTCGAACCCGGGGCCTACCGGTGTCGGGCGCGAACGCTTAACCTCTGGACCACTGAGCTGGCACCCAACAGTGTTAATGTCTAAGCTCAACAAATCCACGAAATTGAGCCACCATCCACCATTATGGGTTTATGGATGCGCACTGCAGAGGAGTCCCACTCTTCTAGGTTTTCCATGGCGGTTTAACTGCAATTGACTCATGAACTCAACTATTCAAATACTATCATATACACAAAACCCCTTTCTAATAATAAGTAACATACCTAACAGTTATATAGCATTAATTTTCTTCAGTTTGGCTGTCTACTTCTATAAAGCGAATAAGGATAAACCAGGCCTTCTTATTACAATAATACTGATCGTTTTTAACGTTTACGAGCTGTGATAATAGAATATTATTTCAATTCAGCTGACGAGCTCCAAATACGACGAATCACATGCACCGGCTCCTATTACTAGCTATATCCCATTTATTTTGCATCAAAAATTATTCCGGTTAGAAGATAAGATTACCCGATCTGAGGTAAAGACAATGTATTTATTTTCGAATATTAATGTGTGAATTTTATAAATGGGGTCGCTGCTAAACATTTTCAATAAAATCCATATAATCAGCCCAATTTTAAACTTATTTACTGATTTCCTCGTTGGAAAAAGGAATAACATTTTTGAAATCGTAGAAATTCTTCATGTTTTTTGTTTCCTAGTCTCTATCATTAGACGTTTTCTCAATGTTCCTAATTTTAAAAGTGGAACTCAACTGATCGAGAGAATATTATCCATTTGGTCATCAAGTTGTAATTAGTTTATTGCCATTAATTGCAACCAAATGGTTAGTATTCATCATTCTGTTTCGTAGAGCATACACGTATTATGTTCATACAGAAAAATAGTTTACATTTTCTAAGTCGTTCATAGAACGAAAAATTTATTTACCTAATGACAGTCCTTCAAATAGTTCTAAAATCTACATATTTTGTCAACAAAAAATATACGTTTTTTCTAGATCTTTATATGAGATGTGATCTCACAATGAATCTTTGCACCTAGGTGTTTTGGCCTTTTTAATAATCAAAGAATAGATGATGAAGAACATACATTACCAACCTTATCTTCTGAATTATGATATTTTTCCACCATTAAGAAAGAACTATCATTTCATGAAGCTTAAGAGAGAAACTTAGTTTAGTAGTTATATGACCATGACAAAGAAAGTTATTTCCATAATAACTCTTCAGATTATTTATCACATGACTAAACTAAGTAAACATGAAATAGAAAAATCAGACCAAGATGAAAACTGATACAAACACAGCAATTGTTTGTACAAGGTGGATATCTAAATGGTAATATTTTCATATTTTGTAAACAAGAAACGTAATGACCCTGAGCCATGAAGAAAAGTTTGACATTTAAATTAGTTTAGTTTATTCTCTTTTTTTAATTAATATGTCTATCTTGACAAACCAAAGACTTTTCCGTTTTGATTGTTCAGTGGAACTATATATCATACATACCAAGATGGAAGGATAGAAGTCTATTAATATTAGGTTAATAGTTGAAAAGAAAAATCTAATTATATGTTGACATTAAAACTTTTCGATATGGTCTGTCCTCTCAAATGAGCTAAATGTAAGTGCCCTTGATCGTTAACTAAACTACTATGGGTATGAATATGATTTTTGTCAGTGTAATACCCACCGACGTATCATAAACCCAAAATTCGACCTACTGTTCAACACAAACCAATATTATGTGCACCTGTGTATACCCCTGGTATCCAGCTTAAATAATCTACTAATGAGTGATGCAAATGCTCAAAACATCTTGTGATTGAACTAGTTTAGTTCATAAACGTCAGTGGTGCCCAAAAGAATCCAGGTACTCAATTCGCTTGAAAACTGTTGTGTGTTTTTTCACCGATAACATCGAAATATGAACGACGATCAATGCCAAACATTCATTGTTTTCCATAATACATCAAATAAATTGCCTGTCATAAGGGTTAACGAATGTTAGTTTGCTGTGTATGAACTGTTGTAGCGGTTTTTGAGACGGTGTACCCAATAATTAATTTTTGGTTCTCTTTCAATTCATGTTATTTATTTGAGATAACGTTTATCAAAATGACTATTCAGTATAATACATAGTTATATCAAATAATTCTGATAAGAGCATACATTGAAAAGAGCAATCAATATGAAGCTATTAATGATTAAGCTAAAATTAATAAATCAATAAAAAAATTGGACTGGGAAACAAGTACAATTCTTAGTGACTAAGAAAGTTTGATTATACTCTCCTTCTGTATGATATATAAATAGTTATCAAAGTACTTGATAACAAATATCCCCGAAACGTAACTTAAATTTGGTGACTCTAGTATGTTTCTCATCCTGAAATATTAACCAAGAATCCAATCACTTTTACAAAATCTCATAGAGAATCTTTTCTCAGCCTTGCTCAATGGTTTTCGCATGAACTGATAAATTCAGTTAAATTATTAGTGTACCGTCAAAGCAACCAATTGTGCTCACTGAAAGTTATAATATACTGTTTTCATTAATTTATTTTAAAATCTTGCTGTATTTAATGATTAGACTATATTGCCTTATTCATACGTTGATATTTAGTGTTTATAGTTTTCGAAAATACAATAAACTAAGTATTTAGAGGTGGAATTGAATGAATATAAAGATTTCATTTCTACTTTACTCTAAATGGTAATACGTAAACACTATTTATAACCGATGAACAAACATGTGATAGAGTACACTACTTTAGATAATTTGTCATGATAGCTTTGCCATAAACTGAAGTCGACTAACAGGAACAAACTATTCACTGCTATTAGTAAAAATAAAGACAAATTAGTAAATATCCTAACGAGTAGAAAAATGAATTTCTGTAAATTCGTGGCTGAATGCAAGTCGCTTATTCAGAGAATAAGTAAATAACCAAATCTAATCAAAATATAATTCAGTTTTGAAGCGTTTTAAACTTGTATACATTACATGATCATGAAATGATTTAGTTACTACTCTATTGAGAACACATGAAGAAGCAATAATTTTCATTAAAAAAAAGGAATTTTTTAACAGGAAGAGTTATAAAATGAACTGTTTTCTAGCTTTTCAGCTATGGTGCTGACAAGCTCTCCGTGATGAATTACTTAGTCAAGGTTTAAACTTTTTGAACCGCTTTATTTTGAACATTTATTTGGGTCAGTAACTTGCGACAAATACCATCATCGTAATAAAATGTCAAGTTGATCAAAACAATGATAGCACTTAGAATACAACTCAAACATTTTTAATCGAAAGAGAAGATATAATAAAATAAGTAGAGAGGAAACATTCATAGAGTTTCCAAGCAACGATTACATTATGAGTAGCGTAAATACAACCCTGTTTAAGTCATGAATTGTTTACGACTTATGGTGTGTTGATAACACAGTCTGACGTTTATATCACCAAACACTATATAACATAATGTAAATAAGTTCCTGTAGAAAACTCCCAATCTGACGCACTGTATTGTAGATACTATGCTTGGATAACGAAGTGTCATTATTTGAATAAAAAAGGTGGGATTAAATAATCAGTATTAAAACCATCCTCGCAATCTATGGAGTAAAAGATCATGAAGTATCTTTCCGTTTCCAACAAATCGGTGTTATGATTTATTAAGCACATCTTATACACTCTCAGTAATTTCACCGACGTCTGCTTTTTAAATAAACGAGACAATTTTTTAAATACAGAAAATTAAGCAAAATAGAAACTTTCCTTTTGACAAACACAGAGCATACACGAATCATATTCCAACCTACACATTTGAATATTATATGCATGTGGGCAGAAATTTTGTGCATCTATCGCCTTACACAGTTACTAAAATGTAACTAAGTTCACTTAAACAGCTATCAAAACACCTATCACATCGCTGTAGTGCTTGAACACTATACTGCCTACACAAATACCATAGAGAAAATTGATATCAACTACATCAAACGTTTGAAAAGATCATTGAAATCCAATACCTCTATTTTGTATTGAGTTGTTGAAAATAAAAAAAACAAGATTTTTTATAATATAACAAATGCTAATTAAAGCGGCGAATACAAACAAAAGGCAGTATTTGTAAAAACGATAGATAGGACACAGTGGGTGAATCGGCATGAGGAGTAAAGCACTAATATGAATAAGGAGAATACAACAAATTGTGAACAGAAATAACAAAAATATATAATCTAATTACTTGATTCGCAAACCAAAATTAGAGTTACCATATTCTTAGAAAGAATAAACGGAGTAACTTTTTGAATACAATGTAGAAGGAAGTTGAAAAGCATGATCCGAGCGAAAATTATGGTTAGATAGAATAGAGTTTTGATAGGGATGTTGGTGAGAGAAAATATCTAAAACATCCGGTTGCAGTTAAAGATCCATTATGACATAAAATACATATATAATCGTATGCATACAGCAAATCTAATATAGGCTAAAAAAGGAAGCACCTAAATAAGCTTTAAGCATTGAGCCTTAAAAAGCTCAAAGGCGAGAAGAAAATCAACAAACAGATTGGTTACATTTCTTGGAGAGAAGGTACGAATAGTCAGCGGACTGGTTTCTAAATTTTAAAAGTTTAGGATATGGTTATTGTATTATACATTTGAAATAAACAGTATAATGTAGAAATAAATTTCAATGAGCACTGGGATAAGGTTACGGGAAGCACTACAATAGAAGAAGAAGAAGAAGAAGAAGAAGAATGAAATCGGATCATTTCATATTCCTTTGTTTTGATAAAAAAAATACTTCGATTGGTTTCGCGAAAACAGTGAGCACCATTTATATGTAGCTGGGGGACTAACAGACGAATTGACAGCAACGAGGATAAACAAATCAGACAACTGTTTTTCCACCTGTATCACTAGGTTTGAGCAAAGGTTTTGATTCGATAACCTAGTAAAACATAAAAGAGATGGAAATATGATGATAACGTTACAAAAGAATTATTAAATATATACATGGAGCGAGGAAGCCGATTTGAATGAAGAAATGTTGAGGTTCACTCTTTTTCATATTCTACAAGAAAGAATAAGCAAGTTATATCAAACTAGTTGAAAGCAGTAAAAACGGAGATGAATATAAAGAATAATAGAAGATTCAATTGAGCATAATGTTGACCAGTGTTACTTCGTTAATGCTTTCAGGATTGAAAAAATTTCCATTTTTAAATAGAAATGATACTAAGAATGGATTTCGAGCAGTAATAATTTATATTTATATCAATTAAATTAAGATTGGATTAACAAACTCGTAAATCAATCTTAACTAAGAGGGTAGTTATTGTAGTATATTTCTGGTGAAGGAAGGATAGAGGGTGAGTAAAATAGTGTATTATACAAAAATGAAATTGTCGAACTTTTTGACATAAAAGAAAATGATAGTTTGGGAAACTATTGAAACATTCTTGATGAAGTGGTCAAGCACTTTTTTAAGTGGGCAAATACAAAGAGAACTGAGCTTCAAACAAAAGATTCAGTTAGTTTGTTAACAAATCTGAGTAGGATAAAAAATTAACGAAATGAGAAATGCTAAACTATAAGAATTGGGGCGATTACAAGAATGTTAGGTTGATTATTGTGTCCTTCATGGAATATTTATGTGAAAAGTAATAATTGACTGTAGATTAAAACAAAACGACATTTATTTATTTTGTGTAGGTATCTAGAATGTAATTAACACAAAAGATTAAACCCCATTAAATGTCTGAATTATCAAATGAAGTGATGAAAGCATTTAAATATGATTCGGGTGTAGCTCAGTAGAATTCTACCTGTGTAAGTATTCGCATCTCATTACAAAGTTCCATTTCTTTTACTTCTGTTTATAACATTGAGCACTACTTTATAGTCCTAGTATAATACTGACCTTTTAAAACACATCATTATTAAAGTTCTAACCTGTAGGCAGTAAAAATAATCCACACACCCAACAAAGATGTTAAAATGGAAGTAAGAATTTAAATATATGTAACACAGTGCAGGGATGATAAATTTAATAAACTTATTGACATATGCATAAAACGACACTGATATCATCAAGGCGAAAGTGCATATTTGAGAACCACATACAGTAAAACGTACGACAATATCTTCAGTCGTTATTATTAAATGTCTTTGTTACGTACATGAAGGAATTCAACTCAAAAGATGTCCAACAGATGGTCTACTCTTAGAACACCTCCCTAGAGCTACATTGGGATAAAATATGATATTGCTTACTGTTAAGGTTTCGTAATTTAAAATAAATACCATTTTAAGTAAAAGGCAATAGTGAGTGGTTTTCTCAAATATTTATCAATAACATAAGTGAAATTTCCCTTTGAAATGTGAACAATCAAACATAATGTTGATGTATAGCAGGTTGAAGAAACCTTTATTTATCTGATGCCTAAAATTCCTTTGATCGTAGCGGTTAGTGAAGGATTAAAGAGATAATACAAAGCGAAAATAATAACCTAGTATTAATATACGATTTGATTTAGATTGACGGTCCTGAACTTATCATAAGTGTGTATAATACCTGCTGCATTCATTGAAATTTCATATAAATATCGATAGAATTAAATCACTTGATATTCGTTAATGCATGACAAACGTAACACAATGTGGAGTGAATAAACATACAGCAGAAACCTTTTGAAATGATGCCTGAATGTCTTAAAATACATTTGATGTCACATACAATTAGAGGCTTGACATTAGATATGTACTAATGAGATTAAAAAGGTTAGCATTCCAATCAAGATTTATTTAATAACACCATATTAACAAAGTAAACCAGACATATAAAAAAAAGATCCTAACTTGGATCGAGATAATTGAATTTTTTACTTGTGATTATATACAAAATCAACAGTAAAAACTTGGTTTAAGAGCACAGCAAAAAAACAATGAAATAAAAGTTTATCAAGCTGTAACGTATGCTCATTTAGAGGTATAGAAATACTACTGGAATTTTCAGAAAGATGAACAGATATTTAAATTTGATAATTAAACTGTTACCAACTTTAAGTAGACATGGTGAAGAAGTTGATCAATCAAATAGTTGTATGCTTAAGTTTATTTTGTCCGGATCGGCTATTCACATGGGGGAGATTGTCCACAGATTATATTTACAATTGGCTACGATCATTTGACCAAACAAAACCATACGTTGTACGCTACTCAATGAATGAATCGCGGTACTTAGCCATTAAGTTTACAGGTAACATCACTAAGCTCGATTCAATGTTACTGAAAGTCAACTTTATGGATATTGAACAGCAACTATTCATACCTTACAATAAAATAATTTTGTGACAATAATGAAAATAATAATTTAAAAAAATTTTTTTTTCATCGATTATAGGCCCAGGAATTATCATCCATTAAGATTAATTGCATTGTTATGTATATGTATATATTTATTTACAGAAAAAAAATGGAATGGACTTAATAAATTGGTAGAAACCTATTATCATTAGTTATTTATTGTTTTTTGGTATATAGTTATCCATCTACTTTTGGATTAGGAGAAGAACAATCAACAGACAAAGAAAGTGGTTTATTACACCGAATAAAATTTTTTTATAGAAAAATCACGGATCAAATTGAGTTGGGGACAGAAAAACCTGGAACATAAGCACACCGGTTAGGTATATATTAACCAAGAAACTTTTTACCACGCACCAATAGATTGATGAAAGATAAGAATGAATTGTCTATAATAACAGAAACGTACCTAAAGAAGACAAATAATACGACATGTTCAAGCGAACAGATATTGGTATTGTTAGTTAAGTAGCAGAAAGAACCTTACTTCCACCAAAAGGGTGATTGTTTAACGCAAATAATGTTGTCGCCCAGTTATTGAAAGAGTGTGATTCGACAACTTTATGCAGGGTTTATTCGTTAATAAAAAATTGTAGTGTCAAATTCGCTTACGTATTACAGAGAAGTTATAAGTATCCTGTCTGGAGGAGATTGCAGGCGGTCGATAACCTCTTCCTATAATCGCGTAAATGTGCAGCGTGTGATAATAAATATATATAGAAGTCAAATAAACTCAAGCTTCCTCAGACGTCACTATTTAAACTTTTACATATTGTTGGTGTACAAACTATCATAGGGTTTATTATATCAATCAGAGTATAATGAATGCCATCAATAGTTGCTTGACAGGAATCTTACTTCAAAATGATTAAGAAGAGTATTTCGAAAATCTGCTGAAATACATTACAATCCTGAATTTATTATTATTATTTCTTTTCAGTTACTTGGATAGTCCGTTTATAGTATGAACTTGACTATATATACTTTCGATAAATAATCAATACTTATGTCAATAAATCATAAGCAACGTAGAACCTGGTACAATGTGCATAGATATGATTAGGCATATAGAATTGTGACTTGGTTGCAATTTAGACAAAATTGATAGACCAATATTCGGTTGACCACAAACAAAAGATGTATAAATGACGTAGGCAAGATCAATGAAGAACTAGGGTTAGGATTTGCGATGGGTACAATGGTATAACAAATTATCACGTAATAGTACATATTTCTTCTAAATCAGTTGCACAGATGTACACTAAATGTTACTATAAAATACTTGAATTGATGAATAGTGAATTGATCTATAATTAGGAACTGATATATACACTTTACTCAGAAACAAATAATTACTGGGTGAGGTTTGTAGAACTGATAAGAAAATGAAGTGACATAAAAGTAACGAAGTATCTGCAACTGACTAATTCAAATTACTTGACTAAATAGCGTTTAATATATCATGCTAACTTACCTGAAAAGATTCGTGTTCTGGTGAAGGTTTAACAGTCCATTGATCAAATGGGCTTTCATCTGTTTTATTACATAACCCAGAATCTGTTGGCATGAATGTAGATTCAGCTTGACCGTGAATAGAAGCACTATCAGTTTTTGTTAATTTATAACGCTTTAATAGAACTGCTATCAAAATGACGGCTGATATAAGTGCAAGTGAACCGACAGTTGATAAAACAATAGGTATTATTTTCTTAGGCTTAAGAATATAGTTTGATATTTTACTTAACGCCTTTTTGTCAGCCACTGCAAACTGAAAGCAAAACAGTAACAACATAGCAGCAAATTCTGAATATAATTCCAAAAGCAAAAAAGGATGTGTGAAAAAATATGATTTAAATTTCAAGTAGATGTATGGATAAAATAATTCACACCCACCTTTAGTCACTCTAGAGTTACTGCCGCTTCTAAACCCCAGTAGTTGAAAAGGTTGAGTGTAGGATTACCAACATATCCTCCGAAAAAGGAAACTCGACAAAAAAACCTAATCACAAATAATCATCTGAACAATTCAACCTCTCTTCTAACAACTGAACGGCTTATCATACCTCACATGATGGAGACCAACATTCTTCAGAAGTCAGCAGACCGACCACACTTCTGACAACCACAACCACAATTAGCACAAGCATGTGAAATTTCCACACATTGTAGGTGACAGGGAAGCTCACTCAGACAGCAGTACAAATGAGGAGATGCAATCTGACTGTGTTTCAAACAAGTGGAACTCATCGGACAAAGTCCAGACAAAAACAATAATAAATCACGACTCTAGGATCATCAAAGTATCTTTAAAAGTGGAGAATTGAGGGGTTACGATGTCTGTCATGCAGTGCTACGTACCCACTAATGACAGTGACGAAGATGATAGAGATCGATTTCGTAGGATGTTACAGGCTTTCATAAGGACATATCAATGTTCTAACATTCTAAATAAGAACACATTGAACCGAAATATAGGGGTAGACATCATAAGAATGAACAGACATTGGAAAAATTACTAAGATCATCCCAGGACAGAGCTAGGTGGAGATGGTAGGTCGGCAGTAACAGGCTTAAGTACGTAAATTATGACAATGTTCCACAAACGTGTTTCGATAAATAAATAAGTGAAGGGAGCTATTGATCATTTATGTTTTGTGTTATTGAATTGACTGTTTGGTTGATTTAGAAGGGCATATTCATATGAAAATAAAATTTTTTTGTTTGGATAGTTAATGCTGAAAATTAGTGAACATTGTATTTCCTAATTACATCCGATGGATTTAACAGTAATGGAAACTCGTCGTTTAATAAATGTTCGAACCTACTGTTATGTTTCAATATCCCATTTTTTTAATCACCTTTATAATGACTATAAAAACGTCAAGGAAAAAATAAACCACCAGTAACGACTATGTGAAAACGTTTTACTCAGTTGAAAACACAACGATTGGACTAATTAGGTTTAGTAAAACGTTACTTTAAAACCTTAAATGGAGCGATTCTGGATTACATGTAAGAAGGCCGCTTATATAAAAAACGAACGTTTTTTAGTAGGATATAGAAACCAGTTACTAGTAAATTTTATGAGTTTTGAGTAGAAAACTGATCAAGAGAAAACTGTCTTAATGCGTTTCTTATGAAATTGTGGTAACCAACAAGCGAATATATCTAGGTGGTCGAACTACTTGATTTATGAAAGCAGGATGATAAAAATAATTTTAAGAAATTACAAGTGATAACGAATATTGCATCACCAAAACAATTATTGAAAATCTTCATTCCTATCATCACGTACCTCGGTGAACCAAGCTAAGGGGAAGAAATATGGTCCTGCCATATCTTGGTATACTTCATTCCTACACAAAAAACAAAAGTGAAAAGCACAACATCCATCAGTCTTATCCTTTAGAATTAAAAGAAATCTAAATTTGAGGAAATGTGTAAACACCTGGACACAAGCGAAATATGGAGAGAATGAGTAATCTGTTAACCGAAGCCATGATTTTAGTATTGCAACTGTTCTGAAAATCAACGTAGTTTTGTGGTGACATTTGCATCATAACGCCATATGAGCTTATTCTAATCTCTGGACAGACAAATCATGTTGATTTTATTAGTTGTTCTGTAGAATCGTATATCTGGTTATGTTAACTACTGGGTTGTAACCGTCATGTAGTCTTGTTGTGTTATATTTAACAGAATTTAGTTACCTGGCTTTTCGAACTGTTTCAAATTTTTGATAAATGTTTATATCTTGTTAAATAGGCTTTAATTCGATAACGGATTTTCTACATGCCACACAAAAAGTATACAACTTTTTTCACGCTTATATTGGAAAACATCGTATTTTATATAAAGTCCAAACGGAAATCCGAATCAAATAAGCAAAAACAGTGCTTGGTTGATGAACGTCATGAGACATCAATAATGACACTCTTCACAGCAAGTCATAGGTTGATGGAAGAAAATACAGAGACCTGTAATTGGCGAAAACTAAACTGATGGATATTAATATGGTTAAATACCTATCAACTAAGTACTTAAATACTAATCAAGAATTCATTTAGCACTTCAACAAACAATATCTACAGACAGTTGGCCATGATGAAACAGTAGACCAAATATTTAGAAAGGGTGCATTAAAAGTAAATTTTAATCATTATATTGCACTTTTAAAGTTGAAAGTGCACCACAAAATAGACCAAGATTACGCCCAAACCATATGTAAATTTACATTTCTCCAGGATTTTATGTATTTCGGTGCATAACCCAGTCATATTAATTACTTAGCGTAGTGGACTTCAGTCTAGAAGTAAATGATATTTAAGCATGAAGTTTGAAAATGAGACTTTTAATTAATTATATTCAAACAAATTTTATTGAAAATAAGTAGTGTATGAAAGAAAAAGCATTATAGTTTTCTTAATATGACTAGAAATAACTTACAAACCGCCATCGTTTTCAATGTATGCATTAATCTGAACCTTTTTAAAAGCTTCCAATACAAATCCAGTATTCTATGGTGTATTAAGAAAAAGCAAAAAGAATAAACATAATGTTTACATACTTATTAAAATAATTTCAATTTAGGTCTTGTATTGTAGCAGGAACAATATGTATGTCTATTTATCATGAAGTGTGAATATCTCAAAAAATAGGAAAACTATCACATGTTACCAATTTATGGTAAATTTCTGATTTACAAAATAACTGGATATGTAAACTTCGAATCAAAGAACTTACAATGTCAACCCTAATTATGTAATACTTATAATAAAACATCATAACCAGGTAGAAAAAATAACATATACTTAATAGGTTTTGATAATGATTGGTTGAGACATGACTATTATACTCAATAAGTCGACTGTAATGGATAGCGATAAATTTCAGACATCTGTAAATATATAAGGAAGATCACAATTGATTGGTCACTGAGTGGCGATCAATGTCATGCGTGTCTAGTCCTTATTAGTGCAGATCGAATGCTATCGATCATGTTGCAATGTGGCCACCAGTCTGGGTGACTCGATACTGCGGACTAGACACGCATGATATTGATCGCCACCCAGTGATCAATCAATTGTGATTACATCTCATTCCTACAGGAGGTCGGTCGCGGCTCGGATAACTCAGTGGTAACGTCTCTGACTGTGAAACTGGGTGACACGAGAGCACCAGTTCCGTCAAGATTACAGGTACACCTTGCTGACGAGTGCCAAGTAGCACGAAACCCGGGTCCAGGGTTTCCTGTTGACTACCTCCAACCACCATCTAATATAAGGAAGAATTAGTCTCGCAAGCTAAGCATCAGTGAGCACACAAATGACTTATTGGGAAGAGTATTTAAACTTTATTTGGTTCTAATTATACCAATAATGATCGTCTTCAAAAACCTAGAACGCAACTAACTGCCACGTAACTAAAGATTCTAAAACTATACGAACACAGTTATATATCAACCAAACTATAATGAAAGCATCTTCCTTAACTGAGATAGTATCAAAATTGGAAATAAGAGCTGCGAACTGTAAACAGCCAACGCCAAAACGAAGAACACGATCAGGCAAAGTCTGTTTTTATCATAAGGTATCAGTTAATATGAGCGAGAAAATTAGGAAAGCAGACGAGTAACAGGTGAAATACTCTGTATGAACTATCGTAAATTGTGACAAATGTGAACTGCTTCTAGACAGAACATGTTTATTAACATTTTAGTTGTTTATAGATATTAAAACATAAAATGAATTTCGTCATTCTCAACCTAGCACTAGTACAGTATAGGAGAATGGTAATCTAAGAAAATTAATTTAAGGCAAACCAGGAAGAATAAGTCAATCAGTGAGTTATACAGTTTGAAGATCAGTTCAAGTAGTTAACTAGTAAAACGAAATATCAACATATGTCACTCACAGGCTCAATAAGTAATACAGTAGAATCAAGCTTTTCATCAGGTTTTCTTATCCCATCCATAGCTGCCCGAATACTTGGATCAGCTCCCAAGAAATGTGGCTGGCAAGCAAATATAGGGACCGAAATCTTAGGGTTCGAGCAAGGTGACAAAGGTATCATTCCTGTTGGAGGACAGTCTGGGCCGGCCTTCTTCTTCGGACAGAATGCAGCATTCAGCGGATTAACAGTGGCGTTCTGTGATTGTTCGGGATGGGACGCAAATCTAAGTAGCTGGAAATGAAAAAAAAGACATATGTGAACTAACAATAATGCATTTCTTGTTTTGTAAGTAATTTTAGTAATATTTTAAGTGACAATAGTAAAAATAGATATTTACTATATCTAGTATACAGTGTTTGTTCGCTACGGATCCCAACAACAATGTGAAATGTAGAGCCCAGGAGTGATAAAAGTAAAATCAAGATCCAATAAAATGTATATCGCAAATGACGTTTACCTGGAGGTAAAGAAATAAAAACAAATCCCTATATATGTTGCATGATGATAGATTTCTAAGTCGACTACAGTAAAATAAATGCCTGCTAATTTACATGCAATTTAAAACTTCCAATACTGAGAAAATTTCCAAACATAAAGATGATAATTTAGATTAGGAAAAGTACTTTATTCTCACTTCTTTAGTCTAACAAGCCGGTTCAGCACAAGCGAATTGATTTATTCAGCCTATCGAAGCTTTGTCACGAAATTCTGATGACTAGTCACGGTTTCATGTAACTTCGCATGCTTATCATGAAACGCTGAGGAGTCACTCTACAAGGTTATAATATTCGCCAAACACATATAATCCACAGTAGGAACTAATTCAAATGTCTCACTGAATATCATTTTCATTTTAAGGCTATGAATTTCATCCACTAACTAGCAGTATATATATATATATATATATATATATATATATATATATATATATATATATATATATATATATATACAACTTGTAACACCATCAGTGAGAACCTTTATAAAATGAAAATGAATTAAAATATGAACTGTCGATACAAGTCATTAAAAAAAATACACACGCTTTAGAAAAAATCAGATATCTTAATGAACAAAAGTAGCAATTATTTATGGACATATGATTCCCATTTAAACACTAATTCTGTTACAATCATTTGATGATATACTGTAGTGTGTAAACGATTTATTTTCTCCAACATAAATACGGAATATGAATGATTAAAATGATAAACCCTAAATTCGATTACGCAACTCTAAATAGTCTGATGAAATAGACAAAAAGTTATCATCATCACAGAAATATTTACCAATTCGCATTTGCTTTGGTCTCCGAAAATTCCCTTTTACCCTGCATTCTCACGTCACTGTATAAATGATCCCAGTGTGGGAGTGTGAACCATTTAAGTAAAACATCAATATAGCAGCATATAAATCCAATGACTGAGATAAATATAAAAAATAAATCAATGAAATTCAGTAACCACGATTGACCGATTCGCTACACTAAGCCATAGATATTACGTGTGTGTATGTGTAAGCGCATAAAATAGTCTAGTTGATTAGTGACCCAATAACTAGAGATAACGGCTCATGGAAAATCTTAAGGATCTCATTAAAAACGATATCTATCCTATAGTATAAGCAAAACGAAGTTTTGAATGAATAAATCTAAAAAATTCAAGTTGTACTATATTATAGTCTGACAGTCAAGCGAATTCAGTGTAAACAGTTAACCAACAAAATTTGTAAGAGGTTCTAGTTATTTGTCTTTTTGAATTTAATGATAACAGACTGTTAAGGAAACAGCATTTACATTCTCTTTCTATTTGATCAGCAATATGCACAAAATAAACACTTTTGAATATTGAATTTCTAAAACCATTTAGTTCAAGTTTCTATAAGATTTGGTAGTTTGACTTAAACATTCGAAAAACATCCTTAACCACCCTACTATATTAAGTATGTTTGTAATTTGTCAGATTTATCGTCAAGTCAAATTCAAAATGTCTACCAATCTTCATTGACACTTTGTGTGGAACAACTTAAGTTCACGCAAAAGGTTTTACATGATTCTGTTTTATCATTTCTCTGAAAAGTTAAAAGAGTGTTTAAATGTTAAATGTTCTTGCGATACACATTCCTTTTCTTTTTACACAATCATTTGTCGCCTCGTTGACAAAGAGTCTAGGATGAGGCAAGGAAACAACAAAACAGTTATTCTATTTTGACTGAGGTGAAATGTCTTTTATGCTGAGTAATATAACATACAACACTTAGCAGTGTTATTAGCACATGCGTAGCACACACTCGGTCAATGTTAACAGGAAAATGTAAAGTATTCATTAATGTGGCTAATTTTAGCTATCTGAGATTGAAACATAATAGGAACACAAATTAAGGTCTTCATTGAGAACTAAAGATTACTTTCTAACACCCTATTAGAAGCAGATAATCAGTCGTCGTAGGTACACAAGACAGAATTTAAAATTTATCAGTTTTGTTGTGGTATCCATTCATTTAATTTAGATCATAAGTGATTACCTGGATACTAGATTTCTAAATTTTGAAATGTATTTTCTCTGTTAACTCACAAATCGACGCCGAAGACACATTCCTACAACGGTGTTAAGACAATGAAATATATAATTGTCTCCGTAACAAAATGCGAAAGGGCTGTGGGAAAAACGATTTATATTTTAGTTAGGATATTAGAGAAAATAATAGAATACACACAAGTAGAAACAAATACGAGAATTATTGGATACTTTTCAGTATATCTGATATTCTACTCGTGTAATTATTAGATACCGATACTTACATGTACACTACTGTCATGAGTTGCAGTCGCCCAACCCACAGCATCTGAATGAAAGGATCTGCAGAAATCTGGCACAAAAAAGGATATTCGAGAAGACATTTGTAATCCTGGCCGTATAACACTCCCATCTGAAAGTAAAAAAAATTAGTAGTAGTAATATTTGATATAGGAAACAATTGAGAAATTTCGTTCTCTAGTTTCAAAATTCTCAATATTCATCAGAAAGATAAAATTAAGTCACAATCCTAGCTATTATGGTAAATCAATTAGAAGAATTATCAGTTATATGACCTACTTTTGTGGTAACTGACATAATGCGCTAGGGAAAATAGTGGCACTAGATATTTAAACATATTTTGTTCATCTCAGTTGACGACGCTTTATCTACGATTAAAATGATTCACCATGTTTACCAAGCTCGTCCGCTTACTGCTTTTTGCTTTCAAATTAAGCATCTCAGTAGGCATTAGGTTTCATATGTTTATTCTAGTTAGCATTCTTTAGCAAGGTTGTATTGTACGGGATGGGGTTACTGACTTCATGCCCAACTCTCCTTTACTCGGATTTGGGACCGGCACTAACCCTAGAAGAGTTACAGGTGGAGGAAGGCCGGAGAGTGTATAGAATTGGAAGCACATAGCAAAAGGATGGAAACAACTGGAAAGGATTGCTCAGGATAGAGTTCGATCGAGAATGCTGATGGGCGGCCTATGTTCTTCCACGAAGAGTAACAGGCGTAAGGCATTAGGGTATTACTAGTGTAGGAAACGGTTGAAAGTTAGGGGCGACCAAACAAAAATGTGACATCATTCCTTGAAGTCATTACTTTGTTGAGATCCGCGCGACTATCGTAACCAATCGTTGGTGACTCTGAGTGAAATAGCTCAGAATCGATCACAATGACATAGGTGTATACACTTTCTATCTTCCTTTAAACCATGAGATTAAAATTGTTTTATATCTTTTTTTCTACGAACTGATTCTTTCTTCCTGTATTATATCATTATATGCAATCTTTCTTTCATATGTTACTACCATTGAATTAACTATTTCTATGGATTTTTTGTTCATCGTGTTGTGGTAATGAGGTGTAGCAACTTGGACCGATGTATACATGCGTTTGGTCCTACGTTGTAGCTGACTGACTGACATTAGGATATTTACATGCTAAGTTCGGGAAATTTAAATATCAAGTTGAAAATTTAAGTTTTTTTTAACAGCTGTTAGTGTGCATATTTTAAGAGTTGATTAGGAGATAATCAAGTTTATAAGCTGTACATGAGATATGAAAACGCTATTCGAATATTCATAATGACGAAAGTGCAAAATCAATTTAACATTCAGCTAGAAACTATCGTACCTGTGCCATTTATCATATTAGCGTAATCCGTACGCCAATAGTTCAAAGATCTGAATAAGAACAAGATAAAAGCATAATATATATTATATTACATGAAATTATTATCACATATAATAAATTTAACGACTGTCAGAAATGATGTACAGCTATTTACTGAGTGATTTTCAATGAGATTACTGATTATATGATCATCTTTTGAATAATCACAGTGTAAGTGGAAAAAACTCACTGAACTATTGAGACGGAAGAAATAATCATGCGTTAATTAGATTTCTATATTGTTGCTGATGTGTATACAGTTTGTAGCTTTTTCAGAGTAAAATCACCTTACGAAAATATGTATCATATTAGTAGCAATATTCTCAAGAAAGACCTATCACAAATATCTAATCACTTAGAACGCACACATTATATATCACTTCAATAGTAATAACAGAAGGTTAGGCTATGATCATTAAGTGCATACTATTTTTTTTTACATAAAATGTCTTCAAAGTTAAGCACTGAAAAGATGTATATATACCCATAGGGAATTGAAATTTTTGGACTAAAACATTAATTGTCCAAAAATCTTTTGAGATGTGTTAATTAATGGCAAATTGTTAAAAAATTTCATAATCATTCTAGATGAAAACAGAGCAAACTAAATACAAAGCTGTAACATCCTTTAGATTGCTGTACAACGTGAACATGAAGCATATTATTTGAGATGTAAACTAATAACTTCTAACTGCCTAATCTTGAAGAAATCTTATAGATCTTAACAGTAGAGAGTTACAAATTAGGCAGAACAAATATTGAACATATGTATTTATTTATTTATAGAACTGTATTGTTCTACTTTTTTCACCTTTCAATCAAGCAATATTCTCAGGCTGTCCCAGCTGATATAAATAGACTGTATGGAATACCCAATTGAATTAAAGAAAGTTGATTCTCTTAATTACAAAGCTATAAATATAGCTAATAAAGTTACTGATACATTTCTATACATATACTTACGTTACTCCATTGTATTGTAGCACTTTCCCGACGTTTGAAATATTGTAAGCACCGGTATCAATCACGAAATCAGCAACTTTTGTACCATTGTTCTAGAGGTGAAAGAAGGAAATAAGTGACCTTAAAAATATATACAAAATAGAGTGTTATTCTTAAAATTCCAAGTCACAGCTTTATGATAATTAGAGCAAATATAACTCATTAAAACATACTAACTAATTGGTTCATCATTAATTTTACAGATATGTAAATAAAATAAAACATTTTTAAAGACTTCATATTTGAAAAGTAAAAATATACGCATGAGATCCCAGTACCATAACTGTTTAATTTGTACATGCTGAAGCAATTGAGAGTACTCTTAGGATTCTGTTCTTAGAGTTTACTGCATATCTTGAGACTGAACTGAGATGTTCATTGGTGTTCGATTTAAAATAGTTATAAAATCATGTATTCAATCTGATAAATCAAAGTGAAATATTGACGATGATGTGAATTTCCATGCTTAGTGTTAGACATCTTGTAATAGTTAGTTAGGAAAAACACTGATTATCACCTTTTTTTCTAGATACCGATATCGATAGTTGCGTAATATTCAGTTTATTCTTTTTAAAAAGTTTAAGAAGTTAGAGTATTTATTTTTCTATCAGGTGAAAGGTTATTATTCCAAAACCTTCTTTATAATGTAGTAACCACGTACTAAATTAACTGTGGTAACTGCTACAAAAAAATAATTTTATTGACTATTATAGTCCAGAACTATTTATACGAGGGATTTTGAAAAAGAGATTTCAACTGATTCAAGACCTCGGTGGTTCAATTTTTTTAATAATGCAACAAAAGATAACTAATCATTTACTTACAAAATATATAAGCAATTTTGAATAGGTGAATCAACAAAGTAATGTGTCCTTTCTCATACAATGAGTTGATATTGTTAACATCCTACATAGGTTCCTCTTTTTATGAAAGTAATTCTTCAACAGTAAATAAATACTGCTGTCACTCAATGCTTATCTACAGTTTCAGGAATAGAATATAACTGTAATAGATATACGTACATATTAAATACCTTGGAAAATATTGACTATAATGTTTAACAGCAGTGTAAAATCTTCGGGTATTGCAAGTCTGTGGTTCGATAATGTGCATTTCTATGAGTTCTCAAAACAGCTGCTTTGTTCTCCTGGTTTTGGATGTCCATCGAAAGCTTGGATTTTATTTAGAAAACATCTTAAAACTGAGCAACGCTTCGCAAACATTAACTAAGACACTCCAGTTACTCGATAAGTATCGTTAGTCTGTGTTTTATAAATGTTTACTTATGTATAATTATTTGCCTCAGCATCCTTGGGATGATAACAAAACAGCTGTGGTTTAACTTGATTATTCACACCCAACAACGTATTGATGAATAATTTTTCACACCTTCCGTCTTCACACTCCTCAAACCTGTCTGTTGCCTAATAATATTAGTGATTTTCAAAATGTCATAATCAGTTATTATTGTTGTTTATAGATGAATATAACAGTCAATTATTTGTGCAGCGATTGGCATTTTAGTAGCGTGGTTACAGACATATATAATATGTTTCTCAGCATTGCTGTCTTCATATATCTGGGCTAAAATAAAGTGTGCATCCAGATATACTGAGCACATATTTCGATAAGACCTAAACCAATAACTACTTTTTTAATATTTACAGTTATACTCTCAAAATTGATTGTTAGGCGTAAAGCAAAAAAATACAGTCGTTTTAATGTCAACCGCACATATGAATCTACATAAAGGTTACGATAAGCAGCACAATCATAAGACTGCTAAATTCAAGGAAGCACATAACAAGTAATTCGCTGCGTTTAGTATATCATTTGTTTTCAAAGACATAAGTAGACCACAGTGGAACGAATTAGGAATTTCAGGATATGAAAACTAAAGTGAATGTGACCTTCACCAGTTTTCTACATATATATTAAGTATAGTAATAATCAAAGAGTAGGTTCAAAATACAGAACGTCTAGCAGTGTATAATAAATAAAATCAAAATTTGTGGGTAAAAGCAAATTACCATAGCCATTAAGCCAGCACGATCTGTGTCACAAACTTTAGAAGTTAGACAAACAGACATCAGTGGATCTTGGTAACCCCAGATGATTTCACGAGGTGTCTTTGAAATGAATGCGTTGAACGTGTATAAAAAAAATATCATTTTGTAGTATCCCGGAAGATTATTTATGGCCTACAGTAACACAAAAAAGTAAGGTTGATATGATAAAAGGAATGTGACAAACGAAAATTTTACAAGCGTTTCGCTGGTTTGATCACCTATTTCTGAAACTTTCAAAGATGAATGCACAATAATTAAATTTCGGAGAAAACAGGTGATAACAACTAGAAAAACAGAAGTAACAAATTATAGGTACAACAGAATTCTTCCAAAGGTTAATACTAGCTGCTTAAAGCGAGTTAACTGCACCAGTAAATAATGAGTCACCGGATAACAATCAGTCAGCTTTTCCACAAACTATATGTATCAAGATAGATAATAACCAGTCTTCAGTTAAAATATTTCCATCAGTGCATAAACTTACATAATAGTTTTTATTCATTGGATTCGTTATGACTTTAAGTAAATGAACTAGTCGATATGACAAACAACAAGCGTAAGGATGTACAACCATCTAGAAAGATACAGTTTATTAATCAACAATCAGTTCATTTTGTTAGTATGTCAAAGTAAAGTTGTATTGAACCTTTATAATGCTGTTTCTCCAGTTGTCCAGTATCTCCTTAACTTCAGTTTCATTTTGGCCACAACCGGGTGACCTGATGCTATGTCAGCTCATATCCTGATTTTCACGACTTTTATTGACCTTCTGAATATTTTACTGATTCAAATATGATTGATCTGATTCTTTGTAGTGTGATCCGGTGTCACCCAGGTAGCTTTGTATCAGAATATTGTGCCGCCTTTAACCATTTTGTTGAATGTGCATGTCTATTTCGTCCCATGATATATTGATACCCGGTGTTATCCATTCCGACTTTGGCGTTTAGGTCTCCCATCAGGATGGTCAGGTTTTTTCCTGAGCAATTCACTATGATAGACTGCAGCATCTCATAAAACTGGTCTTTAGCATCGTCGTTGCTATCACTGGTGGGTGCATAACATTGGATAACACTCGTTAAGATTCCCTCCTTTGTTTTGAACGATGCTTTGATGATTATGGATCCATGAGATTCCCTATCCTATAAGTACTTTACATGTTTCTTTGGACAGCATCAGTTCAACTCCTTGTGAGTGTGTGGCTTTTTTTCTCCATGATCCGAGTACAACAGCATTTCACCTGAATCTAACGTTTTCAGTCCAGCTTTGTTTCAGTGGATTTCATTGAAACATCAAGTTGTATCTGCTCATTGCCGCAGCTATTCGACTGGTCCTTCCGATTTCTTATATTGTCCGAATATTCTATTTACCTATATCGATTGTTGTTCTGGTTGTTAGAAGGGGCATCGGCCTTGTGACTTCCGAAGAATCTCGGCTTTCATCATGTGGCGTCATAATTTTTCTTTCAACTCGGAGGGCAGAGTTTAAATGGTTAGCATTTTTGAGCAAGGTCGTTTTCTACGGAATGGGGTTGCTAACCACATGCTCAACCCTCCTCCTTTACCCGGGCTTGTGACCGGCAGTAACCCTAGAAGGACCATAGGTAGAGTTGTACCATTTTAAAACAAACTTTAAATGAGCATACTTTGCAACACATAAAAATAAAGTTGTAACATAATTAATTTAAAGAAAGTGTTATGAAACTTACTACTGTTACCAGATCAAGACTTGTAACGATTCCCTGATCATCAGGGCCGACAGAGAGGTCAGGTTGAAAGTAGTAGAAAATTCTGTGTTGATATTTTACAGTTTTCGGAGGAGATTCTCCAGAAAATTCTACATTGTTACGTTGACGATCCTCGCTGTATTCAAAATTTAAAAGTAATCATTATCGTCATTGATGCCATATTAGATAAAGGAAACGCTATGCACGAAAAGACATTAAGTAAAAGTTTCAAATCTCGTTAACCATAAAGAATATTGACTTGTAGAGTACATTAACTATCAAACAAATAAACTAACCGATAAACGTAAGGGCCAACTTCAGTAAATCTTGGTCGACCACCACTTAGAACTTCTTGAGGATTAGTCAAATTATACAGATATATGGAAAAATACACAGGGACACTTGGTGATTTCCAGTTATCAAAAATTTCACTACCGGGTAAAATAGCAAGTTTCTACAATATACAAGAGAAGTAAACAAATCCATAATTCGGCGAAAATACTCAGTAGTTAGATTCTTAATTATGCTTTTGGATATACAAATGTGAGGTCGTCAGTGAATAAAATTGATTACACTGTTAACAAGGGTAATTTGACGTGGAAAATAAGATTCATCTATTTTAATTTGAAACCAGTATCAACAAGTGTGTCACTTAGAGGTATTCTATCACAGAGGCGAAATTAATTAATCTAAGCTCTAAATTATGTATGCTAGTAGTTTATTTTAAAATATATTATGATACCTCGCAAGTGACGTTAAGGGAAAATGTAGCAAAAAGATATAAAAAGAGGGGATTGAGTAATGGGAGTAATTACACAGAAACTCATGTCGCTTTTGCTGCTTTCCTATAAAAGACAAGTAATAGTAATAATAATAATAAACTACAAATACTATTGGTTTCAATTCTGAATCCTATCATGATTTTTTAGTTGATGAACTGCATGAAGGGTAAAACACTTCACGCATCTATCCTTCAGATGACGGCAGTCATACAGTAACCACTGATTGGTATTTCTCGGCTAGCTCCGAAGTATATATGGTATTTGCTAGAGGTAAGATAGGATTTTAAACAGATTTTAGCTGTGTAACTCACTTTATAGAAAAATTCAAACTATATACAGACGTTTCGCCTAAGGTAATATAGGTTTTGTAATAGAAATACCATTCCTAACCATTTCTATCCGTACAAAAACAAATGTCTGAAAAGATGTGGATATTTGTGTATAATATAAAAGACAAACCAAAAACTCACCCTGGAAATCAGACTAGCAAATAAATAGTTGAATATAAATAACCCGATTATACACATCAGGGACAAGAAAAGCAATGCAACTGTGGATAAAATCAAGCAAATACGATTAGGTTTCGATATACGAGCCATTATTTATGTGCGGGTAAGTTGTTATTGAAGAAGAGTTTATCAGTAGTAATATGTAAAATCCAGTGGAATGTAAGCTGCGAATCGATGATGATATAAGATACCAAAACAATGAACTGAGCGGATGTATGTAAAAGAATCAAATAGCTGTTGAAAATATCAAAGTCATATAGACGTGAATTTACGGACAGAAATTTCTGTAGACCTACAAGAGTTAACAATAAAATTTAAAACAATTAGTTAATTCTTGATAAGTCTGGATAACGCGATAAGGTGAATATTATTAGTGTAGTACATTTCGAATAATCTGATCACGTAAACTTGTTAAGAATATATCTGAAAAAACAAAAGGTCAGCTAGACAAATCGGAAGGTAAGGAGAAACAAAGACAATAAATGAAACACCATTCTGGATAATAAATCAATATTGGAAGGGTAGGCTTAGAGTGGAAACAAACTGTTTTCGAACATATAAAGAAGGATCGAATTTTCGTATTGCATTCGAAAGTAAGGTGCGAAAAGCTTATCAGTCTAAGGATTCACAGAAATCAAAAACAACAAACGATTAAAATTCTAAGAAGGGTTACACATTTGTTTATTTCAATGCAGCTAGAGAAAAACGACGAAATCATGGATTTGATATAGACATTATGTATTAAGGAAACACCAATGAAATGTTTTGTGACTTTTATAGGAATGTTCAGCTCAATTACTTGTAAAGGCATGATACACACAACAAATTAGTGAGGCTATGTAGACCAATGGACTTCAAAGTCTAGAATATATACATAAATATTTATTTTATTTAAATGTAACCAATATTTCACCAAGCATCAAGTGTCTCGATTTTGTCACCGGTGCGAGTCTGTTGTACAAATTTTAACGGAAGTGTATGCAATCATCAAATGACCCTTATGGTCGGAATAGTACTTTAGTTAAAAACAATGGGATATAGAACAGCAATGATGTAGCAAACAGAAGCAGACTAACGCAATATACTCTGATAAACAGCCTAAAACAAATATATTACATGGGTATTAACATCATAATAAACATTTGTCTTGTAATATGCGAATGTAGATATAGGAATAGAACAGTTCAAAAATATGGACTGGATTACAAAATTGTATATTTTTACTTATGTTTTATTAAGTGGGGAAATGGTCGATAGGAATTATTTTCGTGTATCTGAGATATTCACCAGATTGCGTTTCAGTGAGTAATGAACTTCAAGATGATTGTTTTATTTTGTTTTCTAGTGAGCATGTTGTTGACAAAAGTTTAGGGAAAACCAGGGTGGAAAGGAATTTTTCTAAACAGAATGCGTAAATTATTAATAGAAAAGCTCTAATCTGGATAAATCCATTATCCATAAAAGCAAATGAGTGATATCGCTAACAGTATTATAAAAATCATTCAGTGTTACAAGTACATATATCCATACAACAGAACACCTTATTCACACAATTTAGTTTTAGTTAAAATGAAAAGTAAAACTAGAGGAAACCTGGATTCATTTACAGAGGAAAAGAGAAAAATAACTATTATGTAGGTCAAAAAATAATGAAAAAGACTATCAAACAAAGTTAATGAAAATAACAGCATGAAATTGTGATATGTTAAGTAGAAACTGACTTTTGTCTTAATCGTTTGGATTTTACACTAGCGTGGTATTTACAAGGCTATGACGTATGCTGTGAAAAGTATAGTATCATTACATATATATACCAAATAGAAGTAAAAACTGGCTTACAAGCAATGAAAGTTCAGTAAGATCCGTGAGACAGAATTTACTAATTACACAACCTTTTTAAATATTTTTCTACTAAAAATCTGACTAAAGTAATAATAATAATGATAATAATAGCGCACCTAGTGTTTTGAAAAAATCAAACACTATATATTTATTTGCTAAAATCATGTGCTACAAGAATGTTGTGAACAAAGGTATAAGAGAATCCGATAGTAAAAGCAAGACATGTTAATAACAGTGATTACATTGTCATTAATTGAGTTTATGTCGAAAGTGTCAGCATTCAGAAGATGTATATATACATCTTTAGAGAGTGAGGGAGAAGATTCTGTTAAGAAGACACCCTACTAGGTAATGAAAATAAGTATATCTGCGTCAACCTAATTTTTATTCATGAGATCTGGATGATGTAGACAAATGTGATATTTCTTTGCCGAACTATAAATACATTCACAGGTCTGCATACTTTGGACAAAAAAGGGATGAAAAATTAAGGTATTCAGGGAAGAATATAAAAGATAATTTCCAATATATAAATAAATACCAAAAATAACTAGTGGTCAATATAACACGTGTGTAAGCAAAGAATTAAAGATATTCGGTTTTGAGTTTTATTATCCAAAATCGCTGTCAATTTCTATCAAATAAATTCACTGATAAAGCCTATAGTTCAATATACTACTAAAGCCAATCCTTAATAGACGCATATATTTATATCATGATTTTTTTCTGTTCACACTGTATCCAACTATTTGTATTTCAGCATTGGAAACAATTGAATCACCGTCAATCTATTCGAATAGTGGATTTTTCGTCATATGATTAAACAACGTAAGACTTTTCATTGTTCTAAGTAGATTACAAGACTAATAACAATGATTTTATGAAATCGATTGTTTACGAACGAAATAATGTTTATAAAGACTTGGAAAAATACTCGAAAACAGTAGAATGAATACAATTGTAAATCTAATCCATTGCACGCATTGTCTGAAATAAATATTTTGGTCAATTAAAATGAATTTGACAATATTCATACAATTCTAATCCTGCCCATTTGCCTTTCATAATCATTGATTGCATAACAGATATAATTGGGAATAGATAAACACTTATTTCAAATAAATACTCAGTTGTCTCACAAGTTTTATTGATTATTCTAACAAAGTACGCATTAAAAAATAACCTACTATGAGTAATGATTGATGTTTAGGCACATGTGACAGCTTCATTTAATCTTAATGTTTGAAAACACCAGTTCAACTAAACATTCTTGACACCGATGTAACCGTAATAGATTATTTATCTGAGTTATGCGTACATGTCATATGAATTGTATCAGTTATTAATTAGAAATAATGTATTAAGGATTATTCTCAACTAGTTTTGGATCGCAAGTGATAAAAAAAACGACGCATCCTTTTGCTAACCAAAATATTCAAAAGATTTAGTAAACTAGCTTTCGACGTATGCTCCTGTTAAAGAGTAGGATATCAATGATGGTTAGTTTTCTTGTGAGCACTTTTCTATTTGGTGACGATTAACGTCAAAACAACCGTGAGTGAGAAAGTAACTTTTGTGAAAGTACCTGATATATATGTATACATACATATATGAAATTTCGCTTCACAATTGCACCATAGAGTGACAGTTTAAATATTATTTCTACGCAGTTTGTGGACTTTCATTTATGGCGAACGATGAGTATTGACAAGTCGGTAGTCGTTCGAATAATATGGATTGTTTTAACAATTTCCAACCTAAAAATCTAGCAAATATACCGGTTCACATAATTCAAGATTTTCATTTTACCCCGAAAAGTTATCTTCACGTGAAAGTGACCCCACAATTATCACAGCAAACCTTTATAGATAAAAAACAAAATGACCGGAAGTGACCTTAAATAAAATCTATGATTAAGACATGTATATTTGATTAAAAATAAGGTAGCAAGTCTAGTTCTTCGAGAAGTTAAATGTAGAAATAAGAGGTTCAGTAAATTAGTTTTATTACATAAAGTGACTGACCATAGCATTGGTGTAAACAGTCTTAACTGATATGGTTCAAGATCTCTGTCGTTAAGGGTTATTTGGTAGCACTCAATGTCCTAAAACTACTGACTTTAGTCAGACAGTAAAATTAAGAAACCAGTTATTAATGTTTGTGGAATATTACATTTTACGCGATTAGGGAAGCTTGAGAAAGTAACCGGAAGACGTATCTAACCAATTCACTAACGGACAAACAAAATAAAAATGTATATTCATCAAGGGTTGAGCTAAATCTTCAAGGGTACATGAAACAAGGCTATTATTTCATTCAATTTTGCAGTATACGTAAGTGTTGTTGTATATTACCAATGAATGTCATAATATTCAATAAGTCAATTAACAGTATAATAAATCAATCGTTAGCATATTAAAACAAAAATGAAGTTATCCAAAACACACAAAAATGGTAGTTAAATGAATTAAAATTTATGATGTTTTATAGGTTAAAAACAAATGTTCATTTTCATTACTCCCTGATAAATTACTCAATTTAGTCATTTCCTGAATAGTAAAAAGAAAACTGACAATATACCTTGTAACTATCAACTTACCCGCGGAGAAAGAATAATTACTTCGTCGTTCTCTCAATAAGTAGTTCGTGATGAGTGCTTTATACATCTAGATCATAGGGGTGAAAAATTAGTCTACTATGATAGGTTGATTAAAACTGAACGTAATTCAACCAATTAGAAATCAGACAAGTCCAGAACCTTGAGAATACAAGGCTAGAGAAAAATCACGCTATGGGTGAAAAGTTGAACTATTTGATATGCATTTTTCTAGACACTTACCAAAGGTCATTGGAAAAATGAACTTAGGCTTCTTTTAAGTTGAATGTTTGTCAAAAGGAAAAGTACAACACGAAAGAATAGAAAATGAGTTATTGTTTATTTATCTTTGAGTGTCAACCTTTGAAGACGTGAACAGAAAGCATAAGTCTTACGTGAGCCTAACTAAAATAGATATTCTTATTACACAAGCACATATAGAAAGACAATTAATACTATGTTCAGCCGAGCAATGAAGAATGACAGCTCAAATTTACCACTTACTAAAATACAAAAGAATATTCTTGTCGATAATCTAAATATTCAATACTTGGTAGTCAAAAGTGCTGATTCAGCATCTGATTTCATGAGCATTACTTTTATTCAAAGTACTACAAGTGAGATAGCATTTATTTAATTTCAACTCAGTGTTCTCTGCACTGCACTTCAATAAACTCGAATAACATAAATAAATTTATCGTTGCCTTTGTTGTTTGCATTCCTCCAAATATCTATCTCTAGTTTGCTGTGCATATCTGTGAGTATAACCCTCGTAAAACGGTTCATATGTCTCATTTTACAAATGCGATATTCTCATTTCATTTCTAAGTTACGATTTCCATCTATATACCGTTTGGGAAAAACGTAGTCTACGCGAAATTGTTAGCGCTTTTTAAAAGTTGCAAACTCTAGGATTCGACTAATTTCCCAGAAGACTGCAGCCCGATACATGTCACTCGTAGAGTTGTGAGTATATGGAACCCTTGTCGCTCAGTGTCTATCTGTTTAAACCTACATAATCACTTCATGCTCTGATCTCATCAAATGTTTCTATATGCAGCACATCCAAGATAAACGACCATGCCATGCTAGACGGGGAAATTGTGGCTAGTTCCAGTAATTTTTCCATTTTTTCTTTTTGTAACCTGGAGCTGTTTGTAGCTTTTCTGAAGCTGGTGGTGTTTTTGCTACAATATGATGCGTAATGTCTTTTTTCCCTCCGGTTTGACGTATCCGGACTGGTTTAACATTAGAAAGGCTGCTAGTAGTTTAGTATAGATGCACTAAAGCTTCGATTAGATAACTAGACTTATAGATGATGAATCGACCAAAACGCCTTTTATAGAGACATTAGGGAGTTTATGATGCTTGGTGACTGCAAATAAATCATAGTGGCCCATAAGTTTTGTTTCAGTGATCGGTACAAATATGTTCACTGCAACACACCTTCAAGTGAACATCGTATCTAACCCAAAATCCAGCACTAACTGTTGCTTTCATACGGTCGTATACTAGACTGATTAGCAGCTTGCAGAACGAACGTAGGGTCATATTTTTGTCTCCCTGTAGTTATTAGGAATTAGCTTTCTGACTTGGTCTGGGTTATCGTTGGGTAGGAAGGAACTAGCATAACCAAAATTATTACTTTGAGAGGTATCCCACAATGAAAACTTCTCAGGACAAAAGAAACACAGCAAGCGGATCTATACACTTAAGAGAAGCTATATAAACTCTGGTGGTACTCATGGGTCCATGGTTATAAAATCAATGAATTTGTATTTGAATGCATCGCAAAACCTCAAAATAATAAAATAGAGTCAAGTAATAAAAAAGAAGTATGCTCACTAGGTACAAAAAGTTTGGTTTCCAAAAGGATCAGAGTTAGTAAAATCCACGAGGTGGCATATATATATATATAAGATAAATCCGTAGTTGTTTGGATGAAAAGTCAACTAATTCGTTGATGTAATGTGAATATTCCAAGCGTTTGGTTTATTAGTTGTGGTGAAACCTAGGTGCTTAGGCTTTTAACAGACATGAAAACGTATGTGTTCTCGGTAATCTATCAACTAGACTACGACTTATGGCAATATTTAACCCACAGCACTAGCGAGCATAGCTAACCCACACACTAATATAACACCGGTGATAGAAGGAAAAGACAATAAGTACAATTTAGGAAAGGTTGTTTTTCGAAAGTACGAACTTCAACACAATAAAATGATTTAGATACGTAAACAGTAGTAACAAATGAAATGTTAACAAGAGGTTTTAGAAAGGATTTCGCCGTATAGTATAACATTCTGTACGCTGTTCATTAATATGTACAAGTTACCAGTTAGATATTACGTAGTAAAAGGGGCTATTTTTATGCTATTCAGAAAAAAGCCCATTTCAGTACTAATAACCTACAAAGTTTAGGTTTATACGACTTTGCTTCCAATTGGATAACTATCTTGTTAGATATTTAAAAAATCACCTCTCTTAAACGTCATACCTTAGAAATTAGTACGCTTAGCATTTATGTTTACAATCTTTGTAACATTTTTGTGGGAAAACAGAAAATAAGAGATTTATTGGTAATAACGTCAACTTGAATAGTTATAGTGTAGGAGAATAATGTGACTTAAATAGAAAAAAAATCAATGTATACTCAATAAAAATTTATAGGACACTTCAAAAACGTAAGATTTTAGCAGAGTATTAGAAAGTCTGACCAGTGTGACATTTTTATTCAACGATTGTAACAATGAAATCCTATCCACTATATAAAAATCTGACAAAATAAAACGGTACTGTGTGAGCAGAGGAAACGGTAATGAACTTCAAGACATAGATTTTTTGTTGGTCGGATTTAACAGTATGGCTCATTCTTAACATTGGAAAGACTCGAACCTTTCATGAAGCGTCACAGTCAAGTACGTTCATACTGAGTTGTCGGAGAAGGGTGACATTACAACGTAAGTTTTTCATGTAAGAATATGTGAAATATAGGTCTCTGAAGGCTATTTAAAAAATGACGATGTTAAGGATTAGACGACCAGATAGTTCCTCAACTATGGCGTGTAAGTGACTAACTAGATATACCTATACCCAGAATACAGGAGGATGTTAAAAAATTCATTATTTATTTATTTAGAACACATAAACATTGGTACAAGGAGGCACCGAATATATATGCGCCAAACTTCGTCATTTGATTTGTGTGAAAGTCAACATACTTCCCGCGAACCCAAACTAAAGCAAATGGTTTTCTTAGGGAGCCACAGCCCGAGCCTTTGACTTGAAGGTATAATCCACAAGGCAGTGGAGCAACTTCAGGAGACGCAGTCCCATAGTGGCCGGTGACCAACAATAGGTTCACATGCCATTTTTCCCTTTAGAATCTTGGAGCACATGTGCACCATTGGCCTGGAATTAGGGCTTTTCAACTCCTCTAGGCGCATCCTTCATATCCACCAACCCAGTTGAAGCACCGGACATTCGCTTTTCGTTCTCTCAATTTCGTAAACAACACTCCAGTCACGAGAAGGCAGTGAGTAGAGCTTCCCTGTCAGTGGCTGTATACGCGAGGCCATGTGATCAGCATTTTGGGAGGGAGAACGGACTCTTCCCACCCTCGATCGTACCAGGGCATTTTGGGACAAAACTGTCGAGCCCACCAGAATTTAAAGATGTACAGCTAATGAACCCATGGGGGAAAAGTATTTTATGAATCGTTTAGTAAATAAAGTGATACTATGTTTCATGGTTGACTTCCTCCTTGTACCTATGTTTATGTGTTTTAAATAAATAGATAAACATTTATAAATATTAATTACGCAGCTGATATATAGCCATCATAATTATATACTAAAACTAATTTTTTGACAAAATACCATTCCCTGGGAGGCTAGAAAAAGCCTATCGGCATTTTTTTCTTTTGATATCTTAATTTATCTAAACTTTTACTAGATAGCAAAATTCTGCAGCTAACGGCATATGAATCTCAAATAGTCGTCTAACTAGGTATGAAGCTGTACCGTAACATGTAAATGAGATTGATGCAGTATATTATGGTATCATTTATACTGTCTATTCTAGTGGCTACATCCTGTAAACATGATATATTCAACTACTTCCTTATAAATTAATATCTTCAATAATACATATTGCACTTTACTGCTTTTTAGTTATTAAATATCGAAATTAGCTGTAAAATATATTCCTTTTCAACTTAAACACCACTCAATGAATAGTTTCATTGAATATGAACAATGCATCCTGGTCACTGACGGAAAAAGTTACCAATTTTTTTCTTCTAACTTCATAAATGTATGAAATAAAACAGTGGATCGTACTTTTAACTGAACTTAATTCATGGATGAAGTTTGTGAAAATGGTCTGTTATTTGGATTTGCAGATATTAACTTGCCAATCATCTAATCATATCTAGCAATGAAGTATCCAGTATTTTCTATCAATTCACTTCACACATCTTTTTATAATATCTTCAACTTATTTAAGAAATATTCGCGAATTCAATATACACGATCATGGGACATTCACTGGTAATTAAGAATGCTTAGGTAACACATAAGAATTGTCTAAGTCCATCTGGCTATACTTTTATCTTCTCAAAATCATTTACCACCATCTAATTATAATGAACTCGTGATCGCTAACCAGTAGTAAGCAAACTAGAGTGTTTGTTAAGGGGGTATTGAAAGCAGCTTTCCAATTAAACATTTTCAATATTTACCTGCATGTAATGATGTATTTAATAACAAACTTTACTTGACTGAAACATTTTCATACGCTATGATGGCTACAACCTTTTCATAAGAAAGACGTACAAATTATTTACCTGAGTCTCAACAAAGCATTGTACATTCACTTGAAAGAATGAGTTTCTGAGAGGTCTTAGATGTAGAAATAAAACCGATATTCAAACCAAATATTGAAGTGAGACAAACGAAGCAATCATCATCTATGATAAATGGCGTCACAATGAAAAACCCTAAATTTTTATTTATCCAGAGAAAATATTCGCAAACTATAAGACTAATATTGAAAAATTCAAAAAATAAA